AATATAAGCAACTAAGTGCCAGATAAAATGAGCCTGAATTCATTAAGTTACACCTGCACCAACAGTACTTAGGCTGATATTCATTCTGAGCTGATGATATTAGAAGTGAATTATTATCCAGTTAGATCACAAACAAGGCTTTGCTTATGATGGCATGTTTATTCACATTAAGGTTTCACTATTTGTTTGGAAGCAGGGGTATAGTTTTGCAGCTCATTTGGATTTTTTTTCCTAAACAGATGGAGTAGAGGTTGTTTTTTGTGAAAATAACAGGAAGGTAACATAAAATACTTGAATATGTAACATAAAACTAAAACATCTTAGTAATGCTACCCTGTGGGTCACCACCTCCTGGTTTGTATGGCTAAGTAAACACTGAAGATTAACACATTTGTTGCTTGATTTTGATTAACCATTAATAGTAAGAGCAACACATAGAGTACAGGCTGAGAAGGCAGAGGCTTTAAAAAAGGTAGCATAATGTGCAAAAGAAGTTTTTTTTTTCCCCCAGCCATTACCTAGTTTTCTCTTTACTGCCATGTTAAGACTTACTCTCTCTTCTTGACTTTTTCCTTCTTTCTATTAAAAGCAAGGCCAAATCCTAACTGATTTTAACATGGAGCTTGAACAATTTATGAAAGGGCTTGTGCATTTCCTACCACAGCAGGAGTCGTGCAAATCTCTTCCACTTTGATGCTCCCAGTGCTGCAGTCTGCCATCAATTGCCACATTAGTCCACTTCCCACTGAACAGCCCTACAGAAGGTGATTTTAAACGAGTCATTCTACTCTTTGAGTGTGTGTGCTGAGTTCATGTGTATCTATGTTTGCCTCTGTGGTAGCACAGTGCTGTCTATGGGTGACCTGATCAGTCCCTGCCCACCTAGCATGGAGAGCATGAAGAGCAAGACCAAAACAACACAGAAGAGTCTACAATAATGCGGAGTGTTGGCACATTGCAAAACAGTTAAGTACCTCCAATTTGAGGGCAAAATCTGGGGAAGTGGGATATATAAGCCTTATTTGAGCAAACACAGTAAAAATAATACTTAACTTGCCCTAATGTTTTATCAGGATTAGTAAAACCAGTGTGTTGATGGATTATAGATGTAAAATTTGTAGCTATGTGACTCGCTATTTGTCTTTTTCTGTTCATTTTCATGGAAAATTTTGCAGGGAGCTGCTGTTTTATGGCAAAAAAAAGTACTATAGCACCTCTACAAATTTAAAGAGATTCATTTTTGCTGAAGTCTTAGTTTATTTTTCTCCTCCCTTTTGAGGGTATGAGCAGAGTGAGGCCCACTATTTATCTAATGAATGTGTTCTTTGAAAATGACAATTAACAGTTACCATAATGCATGTGCTGTGCTAACTGCTGCTCTGCTCTACATGAATGCAGAAGGTAGCGCGTCAAGCGGTGAAAAGCAAAGGATGACAAAAGAATACAGCAAAGAGGTGTAAATCACAGCCTTCACAAGCTGCCAGCTTGTGCCAGGCCTCTGTGCAGGCAAAGCTGTGTCAGCTGACCACAGAGATGTGTGACAGGTACTGGGGGACACAAGGCAATGTGACAAGTCAATGCTGCCTTGAATGCCAGTGTTGACTGTTTCTGCCTGGGTTTGGGTTGTGGAGCAGCAGAAAAACAAGAAGGATACCCCAAGTAGTGTCTGTTAACATGGAAGGTACCATCAGTTCCATGGCTAGAAGTTTAAAATGCACACCTCTTTGTTTTGGTGTTGGTCCTTTTGTTTTTGTTTGGTTGGTTGGTTTTTGGTTGGTTGGTTTTGTTTGGTTGGTTTTGTTTGTTTTGGTTTGTGATGATTTGTTTGTTTGTGGTTGGGGGGGTTGGGGTTTTTTTTGTGGGTTTTTTTGTTTGGTGGGTTTTTTTGAGTCATGGACTCGAACTGCATTATTGTTCAATATTTCCTTAGGTATGTCTTCTAGCTGACAGAGTCTGAAGCTTTACCTTAGAGCTAAGCTCTTGATAAGACCCACTGAACTGTAAGTAAAGAGGATGCTGCAGCTATGCAAAACATGAAATTATCAGGTCATCTGCCCAGAGCTGTTAAATAGCATGCCCTCTTCCCTAAGAAGAAAGAACAGCATCTTACATATAGATTAATGATTCATCTGCAAAAATAAACAAACAAATAAATAAAATCTGACACAATATAACCCAAACAAGAGAACAACAATTTCATCATAGGATTTTATAAAAGAAGTACAGCAACTGCTCTGCTTCAGCATTCCCATGGTGTTTGCTAAATAGCGTGTGTAGATGCAATCAATTGCTCATTAGACATGCCACACATGACACAGATACAAACAATCATGGCATTACTGATTTACCCTTGACCCTGTGCTACTATCACATATGGGGCGAGGTACAAGAACACAATAGCTGGGGAGCCATTTTTCCTGTTCCTTATAGAAAAACTTCTCCATTGCTTTTCAAATATTGTTCAGGAAGACACAAACCTGCTGCATCTGAAGATGAGACAACATGTACCTTTGGAGGGTGTGGACATTGTACACTGAGACCTCGCAAAGTAACCTCCATCAGTACTGGGAAAGGCTCTTCCGTGAGATCACTGGTGTCAGGAAGCTGAGCCAAGCCTCTCGGGTAGGTCTGCATAGGTCTGCTCTGCCACATGCAACTTCTGCAGCTGCTCCTAGTGACCCTATGCCTGTAGGGCAAAGAGCGTCTCTAAGTCAGGAACTTTTGAAGAGACTCTCCCTACAGTCCCCACTTGCCCTATGAGGCTTTGCAGAGTAATTTCTATTGGATGAAGATGGACCAGAAAATACACCGTAGGAGAACAATATGTGTATTTCAACTACTAATCAGCTTCCAGTCCACATAACTAGGTCTGATATAAACCTCTCCAACATGCAGTGAATGTGGATACCGGGTTTTCTGCACCTGCTGTTTCCTTTTCAGACCCACTCCTGCTGAGCAGCACTGCACAACCCACCTGGCTCTGCTGTATGCTTCTCCGACAGACACACTGATTCACACTGAGGATGGAGTGGCAACAGCGATGTTCTGCACATCCTGTTGATGTCTATTCATCCTGACAGCTAAAGTGGAGCCAATAATGATACTTGCAGCAGGCACAGATTATGGTAGGTGCTGTATATAAACAGCATGCCCTAGTTCTTCACGAATGACCCTTGGACTCTCCCCTGCTCCTTCATGTAGAGAGAAGCCTGTCCATTAGGTCACGGGGTGAGGAGGAGGAGGGCAGGCGGTGCATGTGAGCGAATTGTGCAGCGTCTTCCCCCAAGCCGAAGTCTTTCCAGATGTCCACTCCTGCTGTGGGAGCCAGGATACCCTTGGCGGTTTCCCTGGGTCTTTCACCACGGGTATTTTTTTCCGTAAGCAAGCCAACTCTCGGTCGTGAGTGATGGCAGGGTACTTTTCAACAGCATCTTAGCATCCGTAGCAAAGGAGAAAAGCTTCGGCTCCCCGGGCTCAAACACCAGGTGCCACACAACGAAGCAGCCGGTTAAAAGGAACCGGCTCGGCACTTCTGCCACCTGTCGGGTCAGTGGGGGGGACACGGT